CTGTGAAGGTCACAAGGATGAAAAGAGCTTCTAACATAAAGGCAGAATGATAAAGATCTAAGAGTGGCGTTCAGAGGATTCACAGACATCTGCTGTTGACAAGGCCACAAAGTCGTCTCGATGCCTACGTATTAGGTCCTGTGACCACAGACTCGCCAAGAAATTTCTACTTGGTGACCTCGTTCCCCTGAGCCTTCTCTGCTGTCTCTCAAATGCACACCCAATGCCCTTTCTCGCTAGAGGTGTGAAACTACATCTCCCGACAGGCAGCGTTGTTCCCTTCCTCCCTCTCCGGGTCCCGAGCCCTGGCAACGGCATGACGTGAGGGTACCGGGAGCTGCGGTCACGGCTTCAGTTCTAGCCTACCCGGTGGCCCGTGCGGGAGCACGGCGAGAGGAGCCGAAGCCCCGCGCCACCCCGGCGCTCCGGGGCGCTGAGCTAGCCGGGTGGCCCTTCCTGCCGCTCCTGCTCTGGAGTGAGGAGGTGCAGCGGGCGTCAGAGCGCCAGGAAGGGTCGCGCGCATGGCTTCTGCGGGCGCGCGGCGGCTCCCAGCTGGGACGCGCACGGTGGCCCAGAGCTGCGGCGGCTTCTCGATCCGCCAGGGCGCGCGCCCGGCCCCGCCCCCAGGCACTCCGCGACCGCTGCGACCAATGAGGTGAGAGGGAGGTGAGGGCTTCTGCTAGCAAGGAAAGGGGTTCCGCCAGCACCCCGAAGTTCATCGGTGGAGGGTGGTAGTCCTGGATGCGGACGCGGCAGGGGCTGGCAGTAGTGGTGCCCTGGAAGCTCAAGTAGAACTTTGGAGAATGCTTTTGCAAATTATATGCGAGGGGAAGTGCTCTGGGTGGGTGCCAATCACTTCTTCGCCGAGGCGGATGCCCTGGCAATAACGGGTCGGGCGAGGCTTTGGGGTAGTGATGCCCCTGAGTTTTGCTTTCAGCAATGGCGTAGCCTCAGAGGTAATTGGCGCTTCGCATGCACCCCTCATTTTCCCAGCCCCACCCCAGTCCTGTCCTCAACCGCCCTAGACCTTTCGCACTCGTGACTGCCTGGCGAAGGAGCTAGGCGAGTGCAGCAGGTGCTGGGGGGCGGGGGAAGCTTGTCTGGACGACCTTCCTCTGGGATATTCCCCTCTTCCCCTTCACCTGGAAATGGTTGAAGAATACAAAAAAAAGATTGTGACGCTGCCTCTCCCTTTTTATTGGCCTTAGGTTTCTGATCTCCTACAGCCTCCTCTTGCCCCGAGGTGCCCAGGTTTCTGCAGCTGAGACTGGCTTAACTCCCAGTCGTTCCTTCATGGGCTTTGCTGCCCCTTTCACCAACAAGCGAAAGGCTTACTCAGAGCGTAGGATCATGGGGTGAGCATCCTCTTCTGACCTGCATATCCCCACCCCTCTTCCTTTCCAAATAACCATGTCCAGGATATAATAAATGTACTAATGGTGGACGAGATTCACCTCTGGCCACCCCACTCCACAGATACGTTACTGATTCTTTATTCTTCCCTTCCATCCGTCCAATCTCAATTTCCCTCTTTTGTTGCTATGCATGAGCATTAAGTGAAATAAGCCTAGAATTGGACCATATGGATAGAATATAACATGATGAGAGGGTATTATTTCTCTGATAACTTTTTAAAAAATGTATTTCGAGCACAATACAAGTGTAGCAACCAGGCTGCTTAGGTATTTTACATAAAATGTCTCATTTAATTCTCATAACAAACCTATGAATCAGGTACTTGATGAGAAAATGGAGACACAGGTTATTTACCTAGGGTCATACTGTTAGGAAGTTGTAGAGCTGAAGCTGGGCACAGTGATGCATGCCTGTAAAGCCAGCGACTTGGGAGGCTGAGGCAAGAGGATTGTGAATTCAAACCTAGCCTCAGCAACTTAGGGAGGCCCTAAGCAACTTAGGGAGACCCTGCCTCTAAATAAATAAATAAATAAGAAAGAGAGAGAGAGAGAGAGAGAGAGAGAGAGAGAGAGAAAGTAAGTTGTAGAACTGGGATCTGACCCTAGTGTGATCAACAGTAAAACTGACCATCTCTTATCCCTAAAATTTTCCTAAGATAAAAATAATGAATGTAACTCTTAGCACCAAAATAGTAATAATAATAATAATAAATGTAAAAGCATTCTGCAACTTTACAAAACATAAGGTAAATTAACATCATGGGGACTTGTACATGTTTGCTTTTGGAAAAATCATTTGTCCAGTCTTAAGATTTCTAACGCCTGAAGGTGTATGGTTAGCGGGCAAGATATGAATTCAGGGGCAATGGCAAGGGGGAACCTGGCCCAGCTGGCAATTTCTTGGCCTCTCTGATTCCTTTTCCCCTAGGTACTCAATGCAGGAAATGTTTGAAGTGGTTTCCAACGTCCAGGAGTATCGCGAGTTTGTGCCTTGGTGTAAGAAGTCTCTGGTGGTATCCAGCCGTAAGGGTCACCTTAAGGCCCAGTTGGAGGTTGGCTTTCCACCTATAGTGGAACGTTATACCTCTGCAGTTTCCATGGTCAAACCTCACATGGTCAAGGTGAGGCCTGCCCGGGAGGGATTGACCAGAAGTTTTTTCTCTTAACATTTTCACATTTAAAGGCAATTTTGGAGCCGGGTACGGTGGTACAAGCTTGTCATCCCAGTGGCTCTAGAGGCTGAGGTAGGAGGATCACCAAGTTTGAAGCCAGCCTCAGCAAAAGTGAGGCACTAAACAACTCAGTGAGCCCTATCTCTAAATAAAATACAATAGGAATGGGGATGTGGCTCAGTGGTCCAGTGCTCCTGAGTTCAATCCCTGATACACACACACACACACACACACACACACACACACAAAAGGCTATTTTGGCTTTCTTCATAATGACTTTATTACCTCATATCAAGTATTTCCTCAATATTAGAAGAAAATTGGCTTTTAATTCCATCTTATTGCCTCCTATACATAGTGATATGGCTTAACTAGCTGTCTTATTCTAGGCTGTCTGTACTGACGCCAAGCTCTTCAACCACTTAGAGACTATTTGGCGATTTAGCCCTGGTATTCCTGCCTACCCCAGGACCTGCACTGTGGACTTTTCGGTGAGTCAGAAGGCTTTGCAGCCCAGGTCTAAAACTGAGTGTGAGAACAGAGCTGAGGTACTGTGACAGGGTTATTCTTTAAGTATATTTAGTACTAAGCATTTGCCAAGTTTATGGGTTTCACAAGTCTAAGTTTATATAGACTTGTACTCTTTTCAGTCCTAAGTCAGGACTCTTGAGAGGGTTTTTAAGGAACTGGAGGGGACTGGGAATAAAGGCACTGAGGAATAGTATCCTTGCATTTGCCCAAGGACAACCTAATGTGGTTTTGAAGAATTTGTCTCTTCCACATTCCCAGATTTCCTTTGAATTTCGTTCTCTGCTGCACTCCCAGCTGGCCACCATGTTTTTTGATGAGGTTGTCAAACAGAATGTTGCTGCCTTTGAGCGCCGGGCAGCCACCAAGTTTGGTCCAGAAACAGCCATCCCCCGTGAATTGATGTTCCATGAGGTGCACCACACTTGACGCAAAAGATTGTTCCCTAATGTCTCCTCTACTCCCCCTTCCCACCCAATTCTCTTATTTATTTGGCTTGGCTCCTGCTCCAGTCTGAGAGGATTGGACTGGACTATTTATGACAAGGTTCTTCTCAATTCCCCAGAAGTCAGGCGCTACACTGATTGGAAATGTTGGGGGAGGGAGGAGGCAGTGAGGATGAATATGGAAATGAGACATGGCTAGGAAAGGGTCAGGTTTATTCTGAAAGCTCCATGTGCCTGCAACCTTTTCACACTGAATTAGGATCAGGACTATGTGGTTCTCTGAGCTCTGTCAGGAGACCACAGTATCTGACCAGGGAAAGAGATCAACTTCTTGAAGGCTTGAATACATTAAACCTTTCCTCTGGCAATAGTGATATTGGGTGGTATATAATTTTTGCCTGGCTTGAGATTTCTCAGGAAAAAAGGCAATCTGCCCCCAGCTTAAAATCCATATTGCCTCAGTTTTAAGAATATTTCCATGCTGCCTGGCTAACAGAGTGAGGAGCTGTCTCACCATCACAGCAATAGGGCCAAGGAGAAAAAAAAAAAAAAGGCAATGAACAAAACTATCCTTGTACTCTTTGGTTGTACCATATTCCTCCACTTGGCCTGAGTTTTTATAAAAATTTCAATAAATTTTGAGTGTGAATTTGCCTTTTTTGTATTGTTTCTTGGACAAACAACATAGATACAGCAGAGTAGAAGAAAGTGTTGGGGGAGTAAAGGTGTAAAAAGGCCTCTTGGACACAGTGTCCCTGCTAACTATAGTAGCACATTCTACAGGCCAGGATCTAGTACCCACCCCCTTACCTATTTATAGACTTTTTCAGATCAGTTGCAGGAGGAATCTCCAAAACAGAAACATCTGGTTTCAGACTTTCCATATATCTGATGCCTTCAGGATCACCCTTTGTCATTTGGGGGAATGCCTTAAGGAAAGCTAAGAGTTGGCACTCCAGGACATACCAGAGCCCTCTAGTGTTCATGTCCTTTAACTAGCAGTCCAAGATCATTTGTCCTTGATATATGATTTGTTCCTTTCACCCAGTGGGCCAAACCACTTTTTGGATTAGTCATACAAGCAGTTGTTAAGTCTCAGCTATAGTCCTTGGATGTTCCACATTATAACAAAATTAGAAAGGATGGGAGCTAAAGGTAAAGAACTTCCTAACAGTGAGGAGAGACAGAAATCTCCTTTGGAAATCTCACGGGAAGCCCTTCCTCTGAATACCAAAACTGCTTGAAGATAAAAGGATGCACAGGATGGGGCTGGGGTGGTGGCTCAGTGGTAGAGCACTTCCCTAGCATGTGTGAGGCCAGCACTGGAAAAAAAAAGATGCACAGGATAACTTAGGACTTGTAAAGTTCAGAATCTTGCTAGTCAGACTCCTTACCTCATCATAATAAAGATTCTTTCAGGACTTATTAGCAGGCTCAAACATTATTAATAAAAACATTTATTTTTTATTTTATACAGAACACCCTGAAGTCTGTATCATGACTTGAGAGTCACCCAAGGGTTTACAGTGTGTCCATCTCAACAGCGTGGTTCTGGGTTTGGGGATCCACACAAACACAGGCAGGAGTTTTGAGGGAAGAAAGGGGCACAACAGGAGTGTATCTCAATCCTTTCTCAAAGAAAAGGCAGTAGAGCATTCTGAGTCACTGAAAACCTGTGCAAATGGGGCTTCTAAAACAAACACTGTACTGCAAGCTCTTGGGATAGGGCAGGAAAAGACATTGATAAATAAGGGAACATTTTCTTGTGACAGGATGAGGAAGGTTTACTACTCTTTTGAGTGCCCCCAGCGCTAAGACCTGATACTTGAAGAAAGTCATATCCAATCTTGAATAATTTCTCTGTTCAAAAAGAAATGCTAGTACCCCTGGGACCACATCATAAAGGAACTGGCCATTCCTGAGCCCATGGTTCTATGCCCCACAGTGTATTAACACAGGAGAAAAAGAAGTCATTGTAGTGGCTTATGTTCTGTGGAAGTAAAAAGTTTAATTCACATTAAGCACTGATAAAGCCAAATGACTGGAAAAGACCACAGATCTGACAAACCTGCTAAAAGAGGTCTCTGGTAGAGAACAAGAAGGGAAGGTCCAGAGCATCCTCAGCTTGAGGCATAGCAGGTATAGAAAGTCTGGAAGAAGGCATTAAAATAGTGGAAAAAATACTACCAGACCTTAATTTTAATGGGATAAATTTTTAAAAAAGAAACTTTGGGCATCAGTTGTCAACAAATGTCACACCTTTATGGTCACTTAGCAGCGTTTAAAAAAAAAAAAAATTGCCACAGTATGTCTAGCTAACCAAGAGGTCTTGCTAGGAAGTGTTTGTGTACATAGGAGAGGGCCATGGAGCTTGGTATAGCTGATAATCCAACATGATTCCTATGGAAACAGAAGGGGCAGAGTCCTGGCTTGCTGGCCCAGAGGACTGGGCAGATAAAAGCAAAGACTCCAGAGTGACTGCAGATTCTTTGCAACTTGCTTTGACTCGGGGAAGTGGAGTCATATTCTCACTCCAGAGAAGGTAGGGGGCCAAACCTAACCCATACCACATGCATTAGTCCTGGTTATCCTATAGTTGATGGGCAACTTGTACCAGGAAGGAAAGGGAACTGGTTAGGGAAGAAGGGGTCACTTTTCATCTTTTAAAGTCTTAATTTATATTTTAACTTCAAACGTTATTTTCAGTGCCTCAGATACAATTTAATCTTAAATCTTTAAAGGCCCCCTGAAACAAAAGAAAAGTATACTTTTTTTAAGCTTCCTCATCTTCGGTAGTCAGTTTCCCCCCAGTCTCCAGTTTTACCCTGACTTAGAGTCCACAAACTTCATCAAACCATCCGTGCTCATGGACTTGGGCCTTTCTAAAGGGAAGCCTAGGGCTCGGCTCCAGATGAGCTGTGCCAATACACCCAGTGCCCGTGACACCCCAAAGAGGACTGTGTAGTAATTCATCTCCGTCATGCCATAATACTGTAAGATAGAAGAGAAAAAAGTTTCGTTATAGATCTAGAAGCAGTGATATGTACAAGTTTAGAGTGATGAGGTCTGTTCCCCCTTGTTCTCTAAGGACTTGGCTCAGTCTTAAATAGAAATAACAGAGGCATAACAATTGCGATTCTGAAAAGAAAGAACCCCAGCCCCCACCCTTGCCACAGACAACCGTCTCAGAAGGTTCTGTGAAGGAGGGGAGAGTCCCTGTTTTGATGAGGGAGTTGATTGTGTACACAGCAGAGAAAAGTAGAATATGGTACAATGAAAGGGAAAGCAGCAAAGGGAGGACTCACCTGGAGCAATACCCCACTGTGAGCATCTACGTTCGGCCAAGGATTCTTAGCCTTTCCCTGCTCCAAGAGGATATTGGGCACAATTTTATACAGCTGAGCAACAAGTTTGAACATAGGGTCATTGGGTAAGTGTTTCAGAGCAAACTCTCGCTGACAGGAATATCGTGGATCTGTCTTCCTTAGAACTGCATGACCATAGCCTGGGACAACCTATATAGGGTGCAGAAAAAAAGATGATTGGTATCCTCAGGTAGACATTTTATCTAACCATGGTGGTGCACACCTGTAATCCCAGCAACTCAGAAGGTTGAGGCAAGAGGATTACAAGTTGGAGGCCAGCCTTAGTATGGTAGTAATACCCTGTCTCAAAATAAAATTGAAGAAATAAAAGCTAAGGATGTAGCTAAGAGGTAGAGTGCCCTGGGGTTAAATCTCCACAACCACAAAAAAAAAAAAAAAATTTAGGGTAGTCAAATGGGGAACTATGTACATGCATGTCTAATTTAGAGGCCCTCTCATTTTTTCCTTCTTAATTCTTCCAAATTACAGGACACAGAACTTGGGAACTTACCCGTCCTGAATTGAGGGTGTTCCAGATGTAGTCTCTTAACTTTTCATCTGACACATCTTTGCCAACTTCCTTCTGTAGCTGTGTTAGCCAGACAAGTACTTCCTGTGGGTTAAGGTTTGGGGGAAAAAAGGAATGTTACTACATATGTCAGGAGAAAATGCTAAGATGAGGAACAGATATGGGGATAAGAAAAACCTGGAGCAAGAAAATAATCTGACCTGATTCGCCAGTCCATGTAGAGGTCCTGCAAGCCCATTCATGGCTGCTGCAAAGGACAGGTAAGGGTCTGAAAGCGCACTGCCCACCAAGTGGCTGGTATGGGCACTTACATTGCCACCTTCATGGTCACTATGGTAAAATAAGGAAGAGCCAAGGGGAGAAAAGACAGATGTAGTCTCTTAACTTTTCACCTAACACATCTTTGCCAACTTATAGAAACATAGACCTTGCTGATATTTTATTTGTCACATCTTACTTATAGGCTCACACCAGCCTACAGCCAGCCAATTATACCTAAGCATTTATAAAAAGACACCCTAATCTCATCATCAGCTTTTGTTCCCTAAGCTACAGAGCTGAAGAGTTACTGGTTGATGATGTCTGTGTGCTCAGCTCCCTGACTCCACCACAACCACTCCAGCTCCCCACAATCCCCTGCCTTAGTGCTGAGAATAGAACCCAGGATTCTGAATGTGCTAAGCAAACATTACCATTGAGCTACATCCCATGCCAGGCTCCCAATTTTTTTTGGTGGTGCTGGGGATTGCACCTGGGGCCTTGTACATGTGAGGCAAGCATTCTACCAACTGAAGCTATATCCCCAGCCCCAGGCTCCCACCTTTTTTTTTTTTTTTTTCTTTTTTTGGTGCTGGGGGCTGGGGATTGAACCCATACACTGGAGGCAAAGACTCTACCAACTGAGCTATATATTCCCCAGCCCTAGGCTCCCACTTTTAATAACAGTGGCCAGAAGAGGGAGCTCCTGGAAAGTTGAAGGACCATTTAATGTTTATAACTAGTTCCTTTTCCCAGAAGTACCATCTAATTCTTAGCAGGGTTGTTAGTAATTTCCCTAGGACTTAACCTTCCATTCTAGGCCATTTTCTTGTTTTGCATCATCCTTTACAACATTTTCCCATCTACTTAATGCAGACCATCTGTAGCCAAAAAATGACAAGATTCAAGAGCTTTCAAAAAAATTTCCTATTGATATAGGAATATGGTGACTATGGTTGCCAAGTCTAGCTCACCTGTGGATGGTGAGGTATAAACGCATGAGCTCAGTGAACTGAGAATCAGTATAGCCTAACATGTTGGTGAAATTGTGGGACCAGTCCAGCTTAGAGTCAATGGCCCCAATACTGCTGCCCTCCCGGTAGAGATTCCGGTAGATCTTTGCAGCAACACAAGGTAGTTTTGCGATGAGATCCATACAATCTTCATATATTAACTGATGAGAAAAAGAAAGAAGAAGAAAAAAAATTACCACTAGCAAAGAAGAATTAGGTAGGGATAGTATTTGTTCTCTAGAGAATGGGTTATTTGGATTGGTGGTTATATATTGAGTATGTTTTGAAGTATGGAATAGTAATAATAATAAATATTTACTGAGTAAGCTATTATGACTCAGGCACCACACTAAATGATTTGTAATAATTTCTCATGTACATTAAAACATTATTCCCAATTCTTACTATAATAACCACCATTTCAGATGACAGAACCGAGTCCTCAGTATTCAGTTACACGCCAAAGTCAGTACTCAACCCCAATATGTTTAATTATAATCTTTTATCACTCAAACACAACTTACAACACTGTGGTATTTATTTTGTTTTGTTTTTTTTTCTGGTACTGGGAATCAAACACAGGGCCTTTCATGCTAAGCAAGCACTCTTAACACTGAGATGTATACCCAGCTTGCCCCCCCTTTTTTTGTACCAGGGAATTGAACTCAGGGGCACTCAACCACTGAGCCACATTGCCAGACCTATTCTGTAATTTATTTATTTATTTTTTTAAGAGAGAATTTTTATGAGAGAGAGAGAGAGAATTTTAATATTTTATTTTTTAGTTCTCGGCGGACACACATCCCTGTTGGTATGTGGTGCTGAGGATCGAACCCAGGCCGCACACATTCCAGGTGAGCGTGCTACCGCTTGAACCACATCCCCAGCCCTGTAATTTATTTAGAGACAGGATCTCATTGAGTTGCTTAGTGTCTCACCACTGCTGAGGCTGGCTTTGAACTCTTTTTTAAAAAATATTTATTTTTTAGAAATAGTTGGACACAATACCTTTGTTTATTTATTTTTATATGGTGCTGAGGATGGAACTGGCATGTGCTAGACGAGCACTTTACAGCTGAGCCACAATCCCAGCCCTGGCTTTTAATTATTATTATTTTTTTTTGAGAATTTTAATATTTATTTTTTAGTTATCAGTGGATACAACATCTTTGTTTTGTATGTGGTGCTGAGGATCGAACCCGGGCCACACGCATGCCAGGCGAGTGAGCTACTGCTTGAGCCACATCCCCAGCCCCCTGGCTTTTAATTCTTGATTGTCCTGCCTCAATCTCCAGAGCCGCTGGGATTGTAGGCGTGCGTGTGTGTGCCACTGCATCTGGCCTATCCCCAACCCTTTATATATTTTAGTTTTAGATGGACACAATACTTTTATTGGTGCCGGGATCGAACTCAGTGCCTCATGCATGCTAAGCAAGTGCTCTACCACTGAGCCACAACCCCGGCCCCCTTTATTTTTTATTTTAATAATTCCGAAAACTGGTTGGGCACAGTGGTGCATGCCTATAATCCTAGTGGATTCGGAGGATGAGACAGGAGGATCACAAGTTCAAAGCTAGCCTCAGCAATTTAGCAAGGCCTAAATAAGTCAGTGAGACCCTGTCTCAGTAAAATACAAAAAAGGCTGGGGATGTAGTTCAGTGGTTAAGAGCTTGTGGGTTCAATCCCCAGAACTCTCCCACCCTAAAAATCTGGATGTTGAAGCTCATGCTATAATCCCAACTCTAGGCAGGAGGACCATAAATTTAAGGCCAATTTCAAAATTTGACAAGGCCATGAACAACTGGAGAGACCCTGTCTCAATTAAAAATTAGGCCAGGTGTGTGGTGCATGCTTGTGTAATCCCAGCAGCTTGAAAGGCTAAAGCAGAAGGATCGCAATTTCAAAGTCAGTCTCAGCAATTTAACAAGGCTCTAAGCAACTCAGCGAGACTATCTCAAATTGGAAAATAAGAAAAGAACTAGGGATGTGGCTCAGTAGTTAAGTGTCCTTGGGTTCAACCTCTACCACCAGAAAACAAAACAAATAAACAAAATACAACTCACCACATATCTCCTCTAAAAGATAAACATTTCTTATAACCAAAATCAGAAACCTATCATTCTTATTTTTTTTAATAAATCCTCAATGTCATCAGATATCTTATCAATATTCAAATTTCCCTGATTAAGTTCCTCCAATTTTCATTTGTTTGAATCAGTCCTTACACTGATTGAATGTGTCTGAATCTCCCTCTTCTGCTCTACTTTATTTATTTTGCAGAACTGGGGATCAAATAAAGGGTCTCATCCATGCCAGGCAAGTACTCTACCACTGAGTTACAACCATGGGCTAGTCAATACAATTTTGGGGGTACTGGGTATTACCTTGGGGATGATCTACCACTGAATTTTCAGACAGGGTCTCACTGAATTCCCAGGGTGGTCTCAAATTTGTAACCTTAGGCTCCTGAGTTAGCTGGGATAACAAGCATATATAACTGCAACCAGCAAGTGCATTTAAAAAAATTTTTTTAAATTATCTTTTTAAAATTTTAAAAAAATATTTTTTTTTTTAGTTATAGTTGGACACAATACCTTTATTTCACTTATTTATTTTTATGTGGTGCCGAGGATCGAACCCGGTGTCTCACATATGTGAGGCAAGTGCTCTACCATTAAGCCATCACCCCAGCCTTTCAAGTGCAATTTTTAATAAGACTAGTTCATAACGTGTTGTGTTCATTTCTTAGGAGGCATATAGTATCTGGTAGCCTCTCTTTTTGTGATGGTAATTATTTGTTCCAGACTGGGGTCTCAATTGTATCTTCCCCAAGAAATTCCGAATTTCATTAGCAAAAGGACAAGTTTTATTTTTTTTGTGTGTGTGTGTGTGTATGTGTGTGTATTAAACACTGAACCTAGCATACTAGGTAAGCCCTAAGCTATTCTCCTGGCCTTAAGAAGTTTTAAAATACTAAACAAATCTGATAGAACTTCTACTTCTTTCCTTCCACTCTCTTTCTTTCTTTCTACTGGGGATTGAACCCAGGGGTTTACCACTGTCACAAGCCATCCATGGGCTGTGTGTGTGGACTATTGCGCACAGTAGCCAAATGAGGGGATAGGTCTGGCACTGGCAAACTCCCTGTAGGGGATTGATCGCATGATGCAGGTGAGCCTCCGCCTCTAGCTCTGCCTAAGATCCCATACAGCACCTGAGATGGGTGTGACTTGCCAAGATGTCAATCAATCTGCTGACCACAAGACATCAAAAAGCAATACTTCATTCTTGAAAACTTATCCCTGCCTCTGATGTCCCTGCTAGAAAAGGAAATGCGGGCTCGAGCTCTCTCTTTCCAGCACTGAAGCTTGACCCTTAAGGTCAAAGAGCTGTCCTACTCTAGATTCCAAAATTGTTTCTGTGTTGTGTGATTTTTCGTCACCTTTTTCTTAGTTGAAGGTTGCAGCCAGCCTGTTTAAACCCAGTTTGTCTTCCCTGCACAGATCATGGTCAAGATACCACTAACTTCCCTTTTGAGACAGCATCTTTTAGTTGGTTAGGGCCTTGCTAAGTGCTGAGGCTGGCCTTGAACTTGGCAATCCTCCTGCCTCAGCCTCAGCCTGGTTATAAGCATGTACCATTGTACCCAGCTTCTTTCTTTCTTTTTTGATATGGGGATTGAACCCAGAGGTGCTTAACCACTAAGCCACATTCCCAACCCTTTTTAATATTTTATTTAGAGACAGGGTCTCGCTGAGTTGCTTAAGTTCAAACTAAGTTGCTAAGGCTGGTTTGAACTCATGATCCTCCTGCTTCAGCCTCCCAAGCCTCTGGGCACCCAGCTTATTTCTTTAATAAGTTAAGAGTGAGGTGTTATTTAGGTAATTGTTACCAACTCATGCCTTTTTTTCTTGTGGGGCTGGACATTGAACCCAGGGCCTAGAGTGGGTTATGCTATCATAGTACCACTGAGTTATGCCCCCAGTCCATTAATTCATTATTCATCCTATAAAGCTTTGGAAAAGACATGTTAAAATACGCCATCATCATAACTGTCTTGAATAAAGGTAACAAAACTGACCATAATGATCATGAGGTACTAAGAGCCACCATTTCCACTTGTGCTAGTAAAATTCTGGCCAAGAGTCTTCCATTTAGCTATTTCTCATTCACAAGACTTAGAAAAAGAAGACAGCCAGAATTAATGGTGAAGAAGGAGATCCCAGAGCCAGCAAATTAAAGATTCTATCTGGTCTGCACCACTTACTAGTTGTGTGACTTTGGGAAAGCTACTTAACTTCTCTAATCTCCAGTTTTCCTGTTCCATAAGAAGATGAGAATAAATAACATCTACCTCACAGTTATTCTAAGGATTAAATTAAATATGAATATAAAGCACTTAAGCATATCTACCATGATTTCAGTAGCTATCAGGTGTTAGAATGATTACAAGTTTATTATAAGCAGTTTCAAAACCCACATAACATTCACAGACCTTACAAAAGGTGGCATTACTAGCACAATTTAAATCAGCTGCTTCACAAATTTTATTAAATCCAACGACTTAAACCTACTTCATAATTAAACAGCTGGTTGCATCATGAAAATCTCCCTTTCATGAGAAAATTAAGTCAATAAAGAATAGACTTAGAGGGCTGGGAATGTGGCTCAAGCGGTAGTGGCTCGCCTGGCATGCGTGCAGCCCGGGTTCAATCCTCAGCACCACATATAAAACAAAGATGTTGTGTCTGCCAAAAAAGAATAGACTTAAAGGCTGGTGAAATTCTTTCAAATCAATATATTATACTACTCATCTAAAATCATGGAAACTATTATGGAGGAAGTGTTACCAGAAGATGATCACGCTCTTAAAAAATACATTATGGGTTGGGGATGTGGCTCAAGTGGTAGCGCGCTTGCCTGGCTTGCGCAAGACATTGGGTTCGATCCTAGCACCACATAAAAATAAAAGATATTGTGTCCACCTAAAACTAAAAAAGAAAAAAAAAAGAAAAGAAATACATTATGTTAAAAATGATGGTGGAATGTGATGGTCATTATTATCCAAAGTACGTGTATGAAGTCACAAATTGGTGTGAATATACTTTGTATACAACAAAGCTATGAAAAAATGTGCTCTATATGTGTAATAAGAATTATAATGCATTCTGATATAATAAAAAAAAGAAATACATTAAAAAACTTCTTGGTGGGGCTGGGGATGTGGCTCAAGCGGTAGCAAGCTCGCCTGGCATGCGTGCGGCTCGGGTTCGAACCTCAGCCACATACAAAGATGTTGTGTCTGCCGAAAACTAAAAAATAAATATTAAAAAATTCTCTCTCTCTCTCTCTCCTCTCTCTTTAAAAAAGAAAACAAAAAAACAAACAAACAAACAAAAAAACTTCTTGGTAAGCAGGGCATAGTGGTGCATATTGGTAATCCCAGAAACCTGTTAAGGGAGGTTAAGGTAAGAGGATCACAAGTTTGAAGCCAGCCTGGGCAATTTAGTGAGACCATGCCTCAAAATAGAAAATATGAAAGGCTAGGGCTAGAGGTCAGTGGCAGAGCGCTTGCCCGGATGTGCAGGGTCCTTGGATCAATCCTCAAATCTGCTTCCCCTCCCACAAAAAGGTAGCAACTCAATGCTATTATGTTATTATTATGTTTTTATTTTACTTAAATAGCTCATTATAAAATTAGACAACACAGAGCACTGAACTAAAATGGCATGTCTGATCTTTGAGAGAGACATAAGGCAACAAGAGAGTATCATGTACTATTAAACAAAAGAAGTTACTGGTGCTAATTTTTGTGTCCTAAAGGGGACAAATCAGTAACCTTCTCCAGAAGATCAGTAAAGTTCTGAATTTTAAAAGTTTTTTGGATCAAACTCAATGGCATTCTTTTTTTCTTTTTTGGTGGTTCGAGGGATTGAACCCAGAGCTTTGTTCATGCGAGGCAAGCACTCTACCAATTGAGCTATATCCCCAGCCCCAAACCCAGTGGCATTCTACTACTGAACTACATTGCACCCAGCTTGGAAGTGTTTCTTTTTTTTAAATTTTATTTTTTATTTATTACTTTTTAGTTTTAGGTGGGTGCAATATCTTTATTTTATTTTTATGTGGTGCTGAGGATCGAACCCAGTACCTCACTCATGCCAGGCGAGTGTGCTACCACTTGAGCCATATCCCCAGCCCCTGGAAGCCTTTCTAAAAGATAAATTTTAGAGTAGAACTCAGTCCTAATTTAATCTTTTGTGTTATAGTGGCCTGCAGAGATAAAAGTTACCTGAACATATTTTTTTTTTTTAATATTTATTTTTTAGTTTTCGGCGGACACATCTCTGTTTGTATGTGGTGCTGAGTATCGAATCCAGGCCGCACGCATACCAGGCGAGCGCACTACTGCTTGAGCCACATCCCTAGCCCTGAACATATTTAAAAAAAATAAAAATAAAAAGCAACAGATTTTATGATCTATTATACCTGCTGATAGGTAGTTTTAGAAATGCTTTAAGTGGCCAGGTATGGTGGCACATGCCTATAATCCCTGAGATTATATTATATATTAGGAGAATTGCAAGTTTTAGGCCAGTCTTGGTAACTTATCAAGATCATGTCTCAAATTTTAAAAAAAATTAGAAAGGTTGGGGCTGGGGATGAGGCTCAAGCAATAGCGCGCCCGTCTGGCATGCGTGCGGCCCGGGTT